CTCATCTACTACCTCGACATCTTGCTGGATCAAGAAGGCGAGGGACGTCACCGAGCTGAACGTGTGCAGAACTCGGAGGTGTTGTACGTTCGGTACTTGATCGGTCGGAGCTAGAAGGAGTTCGACTATATCAACTGCGTTGTCAAACGCTTCGGTTTTCAGTCTACGAGGGTACGTAGACATACTCTCCCCCTCTCGTTGCTATGCATCTCCTATATAGATATTGCGTGAGCGTAGGCAATTTTTTAAAATTGCATGCTACATTTCCTAACATCAACATGGGCATGACATGGCATGTCTAACTTTGACATTGGCCGGTATGAATTGACACATTGGATTTGCTTTTCCTAGAGTACGTCTAACGGCATGCCATGCGCACACGGCAAAGCTCTTTTTATCGGAGCCAGTAGCTACCGGTTAGGAATCCATCTTTCATTGACTACGTCAAGATTCGTGTGACTGTCACGCATTAATTTTTAGTTTTTGCTATACAACATCTATACCTGGACAAATACAGTGAATGGACCCCACCAAAACTATTGTTTAATCAGATGCATGCATGTCCCTCTCTCTCTCACGTACAACAGTACACATGCATGGCAGCAAAACTACTGGTGCAGTCTCTCTCCTTTCTTACACAACAAATTCACCTTTTTATTTCATCTTTGTTAATTTAAATTATTTATATCTTTTAAATAAAAAATTCAATTTTGAAACTTTTTATATATTTGAACTCCTGGTATAGAGATCTTTAAAACAAGGTTAATATTAAATATATTTTTTCTACTTTGAGTTTTGTTATTTCAAACATTTTTTCATTTCAATTATATATTGATCAGTGAAATCTGTTTTTTGAAGTTAGTGAAATATGTCTGTTAAATTGGGTGAAATCGTTCATTCAAATTATCGAAATCAACCGTTTTATAATGAGTTAAATGTAACTTTTGAAACGAGTGAAATACATTTTTTTTCAATGAGTGGAATCTGATTTTTGAAATGAGTGAATTTTTTTTCTTAAAATGAGTGAAATGTGTTTTTTGAATGAGCGGAATCTGGTTTTTTGAAATGAGTGAAACATGTCTGTAAAATGAGTGAAATCACTTTTGGAAAATTAGTTATCGAAAGAACTGTAATCTATGTCTTGAAAAAAGTAGAGTGAGGTTACTTTTTGAAATAATTGTGAAACTGATGTTTTTGAAATTGAAATAACAAAGAAATTCATCTGTGAAATAACTTTTTGCAACATGTGAAATAGATTTCTCTTCAAATTTTGTGTGATATATGACACAAAGAACATGTGTGATATATGACACAAAGAACATGTGTGATATATGAAATAGTTAAAGTGATCTAAAACAAATGTGCTCTATGAAATTAACTTTGTCAAATATATGAAAGTATTATTTTCTAAATGTGTGAAACTACTTTTTGTGAAGTCGACGTGTTTTGAAATTTAAATAACAAAGAAATGCATCTGTGAAATAATTGAAATCAATTTTAAAATTGTGAAATAGATTGTTTCAGAGGGAGAAGCGGATTTTTTTCAACATGTTAAATATATTTCTCTTCAAATTATGCATGATATGTTAAATAAAGAACATCTGTGATATATGAAATAGTAAAAGTATTCTAAAATAAATGTGATATATGAAATTAACTTTTGTCAAATATATGAAAATATTATTTTTCAAATTTGTGAAACTACTTTTTGTGAAGTCGGTGTGTTTTGAAATTGAAATAACAAAAAAATGCATCTGTGAAATAACTGAGATCAGTTTTTAAATTGTGAAATAGATTGTTTCAAAGAGAGAAGCGGGTTTCTTAAAGTGAAATAAGTGGTTTGAAACATCTTAATTTGAACAAGTTTGAAAACTATCCAAAATTATACTTGTTCTATAGATCTGGCATCATGAGTTCAAATATATAAAAAAAATAAAAAAATAGTTTTTGTTTTTAAAGATATCAACCATCTAAAATGTTGAAAGGAAATTAGTACCGATGGTTTTTATAGGTACAGACAAGAGATGAATTGCCCTGTTCCGTACTGTGCACAGAAAAAAGTTGCATGCGTCAGGGTTGTTTTGTCTGTGCATGGGGCCCAGGTTCAAGAAATACAAAGTTGTAAAATGAGAAAGCAATGAAATACGTTGGATACTTGGCCCACACAAAGTTAGCTGGCTGCATTTGATTGGTGGGCACTCACCGGTAGCTCCCAGCACCGGTAAATTTACTTATTCGATGCGCACACGTACTTGAGCTCTGTAGCTCTCCTTCGCCGGGCACACCTTCGCAAGGACGACGTACACATCAACGACCGTGACGAGCATAGCGATGTGGCTGGCACAACATTTGGCACCGGCCTTGCTTCGATGCCGGAAGTGACACGATCAGACCCCCGCAAGGACAACACACGCATCCATGAGTTTGCCGTGCACAACAGCATGGAAAATATGCATCAGAGGGCAGATATGTAACTGCCAGTTACATGTCCATCACTAAATATGCAACTAACTACACACGAGCACTCCACGCGCAACTGCTAGCGCGGCAATATGTGTGTAACTAGAGGGTTTCTTTTGTATTATCTACTTTTTTTGCTGCGTGTTCTGGCTTGAACTTATATTTTTCTATTTTTCCCAGTTGCAAATGAATAAAATACAAAAAAGTAGAAAATAATAATCATAAACTGAAATAAAAAGGCGTCTTTTTTAAAGACATGCACATGCAAACAATTTACATATTTTTTTTTCTTTGCGAACTAGTATTAACGTCTGTTTATCGAGCCAATTGATTAGGCTTGTGGCCGGCCTCATGTAGCTACCGTAACGTAGCCCAAACAGCAAGTGTTAGGAAGAAGACAAAGTAAGAGAAGGAGATTAGGAGGACAAAGGGGGTTTTACCCCGCACGTGATTGTACCGTGCACGCCTAAACATAAGCTGGATTGAACCGTGCGAAAGATCAAATGGTTTTTTGCAAAAATGTTGGGGCGAGCTACTTTGCCATGATGCGGCCAGCAAGGCACCATTGGTTCACTCATGATTGGCTCTGTACTAAATCATCCCATGCAGTGCAAGTTTAAGGATGGTTTGATTACCTTTTATAAGTTTGTGAACTAGATCATAACATTGATTGCAAGTTTTTGGATCTATAGTGCTCTTGCCTTAATTACAAATTTGAAGGCAATTCGACAATTGGCATAACAATGGAGTGTATCCAATTATCACACAAAAAAGGGACAACTGAATTAATTCTATCAATGTTATGCTCATGATTATTTTCTAAATTAAATTAATCAAAAAACTGCCCATTTACTCAGCAGTTAATTTACACACGTACATGTACATGTATCGGATTTGCTAATTAAAAGAACACCCGATAAAACTACTTTCAGTTGGAGTTTTTATGGGATTTATTGGAGATGCTCTTAGTACGAAAGTTTTGCGAGTTTAAGATGACACCGAGTAAACAAGGATCGAATGTAAATATGGCAACGTATTGTAGTGGCATTTTTTTTTTTTTGCACCCTTATAACAAGCTGGCTCTTCACGTATGCAGGCCAACGATTTTACACCTAACAAGGCTCTAAAATAAACTGTGCATCTTCAACGGAAAGGATACAGAATTCGTGTACGTACGTACGTACGCATCGCTCCAAGATGAAGCTTTGCAACTCGATTCCTCCTGGTTGACGCAGTGCTTGGCACGCACGCATCTCTCCTCGAGTCCGACTCCACCTCGGCGAATTCCCGGTGGATATAAGCCTAGCTAGGGGCTTCCCGGCAACTCACAACACCCTCGCCGATCCCTCCTGTCCTTCCTCCGCAACCTGCAGCACACGCCCGCTCTCATGACGATGCAGGACCAGATCCGTCGTGATCTCGAGCGCCGCAGGAAGGTCGTCAACGCGGCCAAGGAGAGAGTTGTAAGGAAGTCCTTTGCGCCGCTGTCGCCACGCCAATCGGCGTTGATCTCCTCCACGTCAACCTGCGCTGTCACCATGAACCGGGCCAACGCTACGAAGGAAGGGGTAGCAAACAAACGCTCTGCTCCGCCGCCGCCGCACCGACCCGCGCTGATCCCGTTCGCCAGAATCGCCACAACCAATGCTGCCGGCAAGAAGATCGCTTACTTGGACCTGGGAGAAGCTCCAAAGAGGCCCCCTGTCCCACGGACGATGAGGACCGCCATGAAGGTTTCCGGCGTAGCGAGCGTGAGAATTCCCGAGAAGTCATCTGCCTCTCCGTCAGCATGCCGATCCGCGCCGATCTCTTCCATCTCAAACGGCCCTGCCGCCGTCAAGTCGGCAAACGCTACAAAGGAAGCGGTTGGAAAGAAACGCTCTGCTCCGCCGCCGCCGCCCCAATCCGCGCTCGTCCCGCTCGCAACGACCAATGCTGCCGGCAAGAAGATTGCTTACATGGAGCTGGGAGAAGCTAAGAGGAGATGCACTGCCCCGCCGCGCCGATCCCCTCCGCGTCGATCGTCGCTGAACCCGACCGCGTCGACCCTGAAGGTTTCGAGCGAGATTAGCATCTGTGATGTAGTGTAGTAGGTTGCACCTGTGGCTATTCATGATATCAGTACTGAACTAGTGAAAAATATTCACAGTATTTTTCTTGCAATTTGGATCGGAGGAGTTGACTTCGAATGGCCGACAATTGTTTTCCTAGTGAAGCTTATTTTTCTTGCAATTTGGATCGGAGGAGTTGACTTTGAATGGCCGACAATTGTTTTCCTAGTGAAGCTGATTCATCGATTTGTGCCATGGCCGCCAACACTGATTTCCCTGTCGACTTACTGAAGCTGATTCCCAATTCACTAGCAACCTATTTATCTGTCATCCAATATTCCGATGCAAAATCGAAGGACTGGACACCATTGTGTTTGCAAATGCGCCACGACAAGCTTTATTTCGAGTTATCAAAAATCAAGCTCAGCGCACAAAAGGGCTCAACATATATCGAGGGTACAACAACATGCATGCATGTCGCTAGCACATTCACGAGGACGACCCTGCGACGGCGAAGCTGAACCCCGAGCCTTGCAGCGCGTCCTCGACGATCTTGTCCAGCCGCTCCGCCATCGTCGGCGTCATGTGGTTGCTCCAGTCCCCTACCACACCCTTCCGGAAGGACTCATGTGCTGCCGGACCCTGGCTGCCACTCTTGTTCACCTCCATGTTCTTCAAGCTCCGGAAGCTGCACAGCTCGACGATGGTCTGCACCACCCCGGCCGCCTCTTCCTCACTGGAGAACGCGCACCCCATGAACTCCGCCAGCTTCTTCACGTTGCTCACGGGGTCCCGGAGCATCTCCTCGTACCGGAGGAAGAGCACCTTCTCCGGCCGCTTCCTGCTCATCTCCCAGTAGCCCAGCACGTGGCGCCACTGCGGGCCGCTGACGCATATGCCATCGCAGAACAGCTCGAACGCCTCCTCGAATGTGTACGACGGCGGCGGCTGTTGCTGCATGTCCGTGTCCTTGTCGGCTCGTGCTAGTGTTAGTGCAATGGCGGCCGCCCCCTTCTTGGCGAAGAACCACGAGGAGACGAGCGCATCCTTTGGGTCCCGGCAGATGTACACGATCCGGCAGTCGGACTCCTCCGCGGTCATGCGCCGTGGTAGGAGAGAGCAGGGAGGTGTGTGGCGAGCACGCGTGGCGAAGGGAGCGCCGCGAAGACATCGCCTGCTCCACTGTCGCCCATCGGCTGCCCGAACGCCATCTCCAAGTACTTGACGACGTCGTGGGGGTTGCCACGGCGGAGCGGGTGGTCGGGGTCACGCGGCGGGTGCTCGGCCCGGTTGCGCGTGGCGAAGACGAGGGCCTTGAGCCAGGTGGTGCCGCACTTGGGGAAGCTGGCAAGGAGGACGTCCGAGGGTCTCAGCTTGAAGACCGAGTGGATGGCCGGAGCGGCCATGAGGAACTCCTCCAGGAGCCAGAACCCGCCGTACTGCCTCAGATGGAACGGGCGGAACCATGTGTCGAGGGGAAGCGAGGTGATCGCAAGCTCGGCAATGTCGTCGGCGGCGGCAGAGGCAGCCATGGATAGCGCCGTTTGTGCATGCGTCCGGCTGTGTAGGTGGCTTGGTGCGTGAGTTGTACTGTGGCCTTGTATAGCAGCAGCTAGATAACAAAGCCCCGTCACGCGAGGTAGTTCCATCGTTAGGCTGCTCCGCGTGCACGTCAGCGCGGGCGATGCTGACGATAATATAAGCATCAATAATCAATTGCTGGCACTTGTACTTTTCTTCTGAATTTGCTGGTTCATGCTGTATGTATGAGGGCATGTATAATGGTGGCATATGGATACATATGCCCCGTGACAAAAAGTAATTTGAAGCATCTATATTAATTTTTCCTCTCCAATGCAAGCTATCACTAGTGGGCCTCATTAAGAAATAAAAAATAAAGACTCGAGTACACATGCATCTCTACTTTTCACTCCAACCTTTTCAGCTTTTCAGCTTTTTCTCTTCAAGCACCCACCTCCTGGAGAGGATCATGCTTCCCTATCCGAACCTACTTTACGTCATATCCGATCCTACATGACATGCGAGGCATCACCTTGAGGCTATGCATTGTACATGCCCTGAGCCTGCCGGATACGAACCCCAGCACAGCACAGGTGTACATACAAAAACTAATTAACGAAGAGTTATACTCATGTTCATGCATGCACATGTACTCCCTCCTTTCCTAAATACTCCGGGAGTACATGCACGTACGACCCAGCCTGGCCGCCGCTCCCAAATTGGTCCTCGCCGCACCACGGCACCAGCCTGGTCCTCTCAACCCCATCTTGGCCGCCGCGCTGCCCAGCCTCTCCCCCGCCTGGTCGTCGCCACAGACAGCACTCAGGTACTCCTCGCTCGTGCACTGAAATTAACAGCAGAATTTGAGGAATCAGTAACAACAGCTTCAGTAATTTACAGCAGGATTTAAATAAACCAGCAGAAATCAGGAGTTTATTGCACGTAGGTTCTGCTCTTAGCTCCATGTTACTGAAGTTGCGCTGTTTATTTAAAAATAACAGTTTTGCTAGAACTCATCTAGATGAGATATAATTTGGTCTCATTCATCTTTTATAGTCATTGGATGTGATGCTATAAGATGCGTGTGTGCTGACGTGGGTTGTATCTGTTCTTGTTTTCAAAGTGAATGAGACCAAATTATATCTCATCTAGATGAGTTCTAGGTACTCCCTTTAAATAAACCAACAGAAACCAGCAGAATTTGAAATTCAAGTGCTCCTCAAGTGTTCCAGGATTCTGGTTTTTTGACTTGAGGATCTGTTGTTTTTAAATAAACCAGCAGAAATCAAATGCTATTATTATTCATTTAAAAAAACTGATTATTACTCCTGATAATTATGCTTACAGTTACTTGTACTGCATGCAATTCTATTTTTTCAACTGAGTACTGCATGCAATGCCATTGTTAAAAAAACAGCAGCAGCAACAAGTCCTACTCCAAGAACTACTCTTAAATTTAATTTACTGAAGAGAAGAACACTAAATTCCTACACTACTGAACAAGAGCAGTACACTACTGCTGCAATTGCTATTCCAGTAATTGGAAAAAAATACTCCAATACTGATGTATTGGAAGCAATACTGCAATAGTTCAAGCAGTACTTCAGTACTGTAGTTCAAGATACTGAAACTTGCCAATTGGCAACAGTACTGCTGCTGTACAACTACTGAAACTACTCATGCAACACTAAGCATGAGATACACTAAGAATTTTCAGTGGAGTAGCTGCACAGAATTAACAGAGTTAAGAAAGCATCAGGAAGTTAACAAGACAAATTTAAGCTACTGAAAAACTACTGCAACCAAAACAGTACTGCGCTTCATTTTAAGCTACTGTACCAAGTCAACAGAAGATTCATGAAAAATTAATAGTAGCAGAAGCTTCATGTGCAAAATTACTGAACTTGCAAAAATTTGTAAACTGGTTTTTTTGCCAAGGAAACAAAAAATTATGTTCTGTTTCATGAACTAAATAGTCTTACCTTTGAAAATATTTAGCTCAGCTTGGAGTATTTGTTATCAAAGGTATCATGAGCTGAATATTTTCAAATGATTTGCAGCAGTATACACCCAACATCACATCCTACTTGTAGCCACTAGCCATCAAGTTACTACTGTACTTGCAACATTCCATCTTCTTACAGCACTTTTTTAAAGACAGTGTTTGAGGTTCAGAAGTAACTAAGACAACTTTACTGGTTTTCAGGGTTCAGACTTGAGAGCCTCTTGTGTTTGTTTTCCTTTTGCATCTGTGATTGTTTCAAACTGCAACCAAGCTGAATTTTTAAGGTTGATGGCTGCTACAGAGAGCTGCTACTACAGACATTTGGCTTTGCAACTAAATTCAGAAATAGTGGAGAGGTTGGTTTCGTGTGATCATGAATTTTATGTTCTCCCCATGATACCTTTCAAAATACAGTATTCAGCTCAGCTTGGAGTACTCATTACCCATCACCCATCATTGCAAAAACTTGAACGAGCAATTCATTTCATCTTATAAGCAGTTGCAGAATATTCGCACAAAGAAAATAACCTTAAACGAACTGTTACGCAATCCCGGGTCCGCTATCACCAGCGTTTCCAACCCACATGCGTCAACTAGGCCCAACCGGAGAGTAACACCGACTTATGACAGGCCTTGGGCCCTCTCCCCCCAAAAGACTAGCCTATTAGGAGGGGACACCCCCGCCCTTATAAATCGTGTTATGTCTCCCCCCACAACCGATGTGGGACTAAACCCAACAATCTCCCCCTCACACATCGGTCATCCATGGGCCCGCTAACACCAACGTTTCCAGCCCATCAACCATGGCCGACCACCCGTGAGTCTACCGAGATTCATTCCGGGCACCTGGGCTCTGATACCACATAATAGCACCGGAACGCATGGGAAGCCGGCGGCATGTGCCGGTGTCCAGGGCGACCGGGTGCGGTATTGTAGCGGTGTCATGGGGAGGAGCGCCCATAGTCAAGCCCCGGGGATGTAGCCATATCGATGAACCTCGTTAACAAATCTCGGTGTCGTGCTCGTGTGATTGCTTGGTCCTCAGATGATCAACGGTATGCCTCGGATTTATTCTAACAAGTGGTATCATGAGCAAGGTTCGATTTGAGGTTGCGGTCGTTGATCTAGAGATGATGATGCCGAAGGCTGCGAAAGAAATTAGTTCGATCCGTGGTGTGTCAGGCGATCGAGAGCAATCTCGTGGTAGTCGACGGGAAAGCCAAGACGATCGGTGGAATTTTTTGAAGTAGCAGAAGTCGGCAAGAACAAGGAGTCAAGGAGCAATTCGGATCAGGAGCAGCGAGGCGTTGGTGCAGGTCCTTCGTGGACAGATTGGATCGATCTCGATTGGAAGCAGCGACGGCGGAAGAAGCGGAACTGCTGGGAATCGGCGCGTGCAAGGCGACGTGGACATGGACGAGGCGACTGCGGCTGCGTGCGAGAAGGTCGAGGCCATGTCGGGCGAGGCTGGGTCCTTTGCTGGCCCATGGCTATTTTTGTTTGCTGGCCCATGGCTATTTTTGCTTGCTGGCCAGAGCCAGGTCGGGCAGCCGATGGCCCAGAGGGGATTGCTGTTGCGCGATGCCCATGGCGCAGTGCGTGGCCTGGCTAAGCTGTGAAGGCACCTAACGTGAGATTTGTTCGGAAAAAAAAGAGTTGCTATGTCCAACGCGTGTGCACGGGAGTAGTTGGGATGGATCATTGCGATCTGATTTTCTCCTGAGTGCACAGAGAAGCTAATATATCAAACATGGGCAAGATAATTTGCACACAAGGAATTTGTCCGTTCAAGTTTGCATGGAAGTTTTGCTAGGTTGGTTTGATCGGATGGCTTGGAGCGTGTGGACAGGCAATGGAGCGCGGACAAGCGCGTCGTCTGGTTCATGCATACACAGCGCGTTAAGCAATGCACGGAGATGTGCGGGGCGGACACGACGCAGGGTGGAGCATGGTTGCAGCCGGACAAGTTCGGCTGGGTCGGACTAGATAGTCTGATGGATCGACACAAGTCGGTTGGTACAGAAGACGGTGTTAGGATCGGCGACGACGATATAGGAGCGTGATGCTGATGGTGACCGACTTCTGGGCGTGGAAACACGTGGTGCACATGCCCGAGGCTTGTGCGGCTTCGACAAGACTATGGCGCATGATTGATTCAAGGTGGTGTATACACGGAGCTTGAAGTTGATGAGGCGCAAGGGTGGACTGATCATCTACCATGGAGTCATGTTGAAGGTGGAGCTGGAGTCTGGAGGACTTCACTCGGTGCTGATTG